CTTTCCCTTTCCAAAGCATTATACCTGGTAACCTAAGCGCATACAATCTGCTTCAGAAGAGGGACTTGGACAAGGCCAGCCACTGGTGTGTTTTAATGTCACTGCAGAGATTATATTACCTTCCTAGAAACAAAATCTTTTCCCCCCTTCAAATGGAAGTCCCTTGATACCCCCATCAGAGACCATTTGTTATGTAGAGTTTTGTGAAGCAATCAAAATTAATTCACAGTGATCTTTTCACCCAGAGCCCCTAGCTTCTAATAATGGGCTTTCTCAACAGGTGCTCATTGTGGCAGTTTGACTTCAAATTGCCAGACTAAAGATTTTATTCTTTAGCCATATTTAAAAAAAATATCCTGAACTTGTAATTTACTAATCTTTAGCAGCTGCCAGGAAAGGCACACCTGCTTAAAAGAATGATGACTTGTGTCTTTGAAATTCAACACCTAAAAATGTTTCCACATTAGTTTATTTCTTGATTTAATAAAATTTAATTTATAAATATGGTGATACCTGTCCAGAGAACAACACTGTGGCAGTGTTCAGGTAGCATAAGGGATCAGATTGTACAGTCTTTCCCTTAAGCAAAACTCCCTCTGTAGATAACAGGAGCTTTGCATGGGTAAAGACTGCGTGGTTGATTTCAGTGTGAAATTAAAAAAAAAAAAAGTGAAAAAGACCTAAGAAAGCAAGAAATTAAAAAGCAAAATTATTGGGCTATGCTTGTTTTTATGCACATTATTGAATGTTTGGGCCCTGCATTTTTATTTTCTGATTCAACACTTTTAAAGTGAGTAGCAAAATGAAAATGTAAACCAGCCAAACATTTTGTAGTAACTGTTCTCAGTAAATATGTAAGGGAAGAAGGAGGGAAAACAGACATGAAGAACAGAAATTACTCTGTTTGTTTGTTTGTTTGTTTGTTTTCTGTTAAAGCATTTGGGTAAACTTTGGTTTGGTGAAAATACCTCAAAATGTGAAAACCCCGATTCCTGTAATGTTGTTGTAACCAATGCTGCACAAAAATGTCAGGACTCTATTACTATATTTAAAGATATCATTCTGCTACTATGGAAAGGTATTCCTATATAGGGAGAGGAGTAAGATGGGCCTGAGCAAGACACCTTTTTACTGCGTCTATATTGGAAGTTGCACTAGTATGACTATAAAGGTTAAAAAAAAGCAGTACCTTAAACCAAGAGGCCAGCTCAGTGCAAACCATTATGTTGGTCATGATATCCCAGAGTGAGGGATTCTGGAATACCGAGTTTACACAGGTAAAGAAAAAAATAATTTGAAATATTCAGTTAAAATATACATCTGTGCTTGCTGCTTGTCACTGTGGCATTAAGGAGAGGGATCCGTATTTAATTTATTTTTGCTTTGTATGTTCCTTTTAAGATTAGGCTTAGTTAATTCCAAAAAATGTTTGCATTTATGCATGTATTGTGGATTATGATTTTTTAAAACTTCTGATAAACCTGTTATGGTTTGGGTTAAACCTCACTAAAATCGGCAGGGGGAAGAGGTTAACAACTGGCCTTCATTTTCAAGAGAGGTAATGTCATTTATCTCCTTTGTGGAACAGGGTAGCTAAAACAAACAGTGAGTGCCTCTAATGAGATACATGCCATTGTCCATATAGCTGACACTTCTGCATGTGTACTTTTGTTTTAGGCAGACAGCCCTTGCTGGTTATAGTGTTAGTCAAAGTACATGTGAAGCAGGAGGACTCTAGAAGCAGACAGAAGGCAGCAGGAAAGCATGAGGCATAGCCACAGAAGCAGGGGTAATATGACCCTGACCAAAACTTAAAGAGTTTTTTTGGGGTTTAACACCAGCTGATGGAAGCTTGGACCTATGAGCAAACAAACTAGAAAGAGTCAGCATGGATTCACCAAGGGCAGGTTGTCCCTGACCAACCTGATTGCCTTTAATGATTAGATGTCTGTAGATGCAGAAGTAGCAGTGGATGTGATATACCTTGACTTTAGCAAGGTTTTTGATACGGTCTCTCACAACATTCTTGCAAGCAAGCTAAGGAAGTATGGGTTGGATGAATGGACTGTAAGGTGGATAGAAAACTGTCTGGATTGTCAAACTCAGAAGGGCAGTAATAAATGGCTCGATGTCTAGTTGGCAACCGGTATCAAATGGAGTGGCCCAGGGGTCATTCATGAGACTGGTTTTGTTTGCTGATCTGGAAGGTGGGATAGAGAGCACCCTCAGCAATTTTGCAGATGACATGAAGCTGGGGGAAGTAGCAGATACACTGAAGGGTAGGGCTAGGATTGAGAGAGATCTCAACAAATTGAAGGATTGAATCAAAAGAAATCTCATGAGGTTCAAGTACAAAGCCCTGCGTTTAGGATGGAACAATACCATGCACTGGTACAGGCCAAGGATTGACTGGCTAAGCAGCAATTCTGTATAAAAGGACCTGGGGCTTACAGTGGACAATAAGCTGAATATGAGCCAACAAGTCCTGAGGCTACAAAACATATGGAAGAAAAACAAACACTTTAACTGGTTAGTGTTGTTCCATTCATTTAGTATAGTACATGGCTCTAGAACCTTGTGGATATAGGTGCTCTACCTGTGCATTACTTTGCAAGTCCACACTTAGGCTAGGTACAGATAGTCAAAAAGCCCAAGGCTGAATTGATTCAGTCTTTGCAGGTTAGTCTAAACTGCACAGATTAAATTGAAACAGAAGTGAATAGGCATTTACCTCTTTGATTCAGGAAATGCAGCCACATGCCTGCAGTGGCTCAGGCCAGAAGCCAGGGGGTGCTACAGCATGGCTTTCTGGCTCTGTATTCACTTCTTCTTCCTGCTGTCCCAAGGTCTCTGGGATTTGCAGTCCAGAATTACACCAGCAGGACTCTGCATGAGGGCTGCTCATCACTTCTTCCTGCTTCCAGGTTCCTCTGGGATTTGTAGTCCACAGTCGCAGCCAGCAGTAAATTTGAGTGGGGGAAGGAATGTTTAACCCCTCTTCCTGGCATAGACAACTGGTGCCTCCTGATACTGGGGGGTCACTGACTGGGGTGAGGGGGTCCCCCAGCGGCCAATCGCCGCTGCCGGCAGAAGTGCAAAAGTGCTGGTGGTGAAACTGGAAGTTCTGGCAGCAAACCTGGAAGTGCCCACCAGCACTTCTCTCGGTGCCCCCCACAATCTCAGGGGGCACCGGCCATTGCCTCCCACTCCCCAGCTGGCAAGGGCCAATCTCAGGGGAGGCACATGCCCACTCTGTACCTCCCTGATGTGTCGCCTATGCTCCCTGGCCCTAGACCCCAGCCAGGGTTTGCGTGGGGGATGTTGGGGAAGTCCCACACCTGTAGACTGGGCTGCATCCGCAGCTCGGCTTTCCCCCCCCCACACACACACTCTTCGTCAGCCAGCCCTCACTGCTCTGGCTAGGGAGCAGAGGGGCAGGACCAGCCCTGCTCTCTGGAGCAGACAGCCCAGCCCAGCCCAGGGCTGGAAAGCATGCTGGGTTACTGTGATTTAACTTGAACTAGGAAGGAGTTTGGGGTGGAAGTTTCATAAAGTGGTTTGACCCAAATCAGTTAAGTCTAATACTACATTTAACCAAGTTTATCTTAAACCAGTTTCAGCCATTTTGAAACTGGTTTATGTGCACTGAGCTTCTGTTCTGTTACAGGTTTAAACCAGTTTCTGATTACTTAAACTGGTTTATGTATAACTTCTCTTCCAAGCCTTAGAGTACAATGGGGTTCCGCTTTCAAGACTCTTACACTAATAAGAAGTTGGATGTTGCATGCAGTAAAGTATGTAACTGATTAGCCATAGCATTTTCTAGTACTTTATATTTATACATGGGTAATTTCATTTGGCCTGTTTAATGAGAGTCTTACAGTTTTTTTCAAAGGAGGAAGGAATTGTTTAGGCTACCAAACTAACCACCAAAACGTTTTTGTTCTTATACTTTTGTCTGTCTGAGAAAAATATTACCAGCCTGTAAACTACATGAAATATTCCTACAAAATTTGATAAAGTGTTTGCACTAAAGGAAAATGTCCCATTTACATTCAGATTTGTATCCAGTATAGATCTAAGGCTTTCATACATTTTCCCTGTAAAGAGGTATGGCCAGCAGTCTGGAGATGCGTGAAAGCATGTAGGAAAAGCTGCAGACTATGCCTTTGCTCAGGTGTAATGCAGCTGTACAGTTGCTGTTTTTCATAACCGTGCTACAGAATTTAAATTTTCATTAAAAAAATTAAATTTCTGGACCTAAAATTATAATAGCCTTCAAAAACATATGCCAGAACCAACACAGTGATGACTGCCTGTACCACTGGTTGGTCTGAAGAAACAACTGTAAAAGAATTATGTTTCTTCAGACCAACTGGAATAACCCAAGGGGTGATATTTCACATGTAAAATAGTTAACTGCTTCATTTCTGATTATTGTAGCAGATATTAAATGTGCATTCATTGTTTTGGAGGTAGTGGTAAAAACTGGTGCAGTGGAGCAGCTCTCTGCTATTACAGTTGTGTTGGGGTTGAATAAGGAGGTCAAACCTCCAAACTTTAAAAATTAGTTATGTTGGTGGGGCAGGGGGTGACTTTAAAAACTATTTACATTTCTCCAGTACTAGAAGCCTCCACCATTGCTTAGGCTCCCAACAAAAAGTTTTCTACACTGTTGTAAGTGCCAAAATCTCCAGCCACCAAAATCTCTTAAATTTTCTCCCACATCCTTCTCCCTTCACATTCTTCAACATAGTTATAATGCTAATATCTTCAGCATGTTATAAAAGAGTAAAATAAACTTAATAGCACATTAAGCACATACCATGTGGGATATATTGTGCTATTTGGACTGGATGGGAAAGCATGGAGAGGGAATAGATGGAAGGAGT